ATCACGCCAAGGAAAGAATAATTAGAATTGTTTCGTCCGGTTAAGAAATATATACTTGTTCTGTTATAATAACAACGCTGTTCGATGTCCCACGGTTTGTTTGTCTGTGTGACGTGCAGATGAATCTCTCGCTTGCATCCAAAAAGCCACATCCGGCCAGTGATTCAAGTTCACAGAAACTTCTTTATTCTTATTACGCGACTACGTCCAACTCCATGTGAAAGGCAAGCTACCTTGATGCAAGAGTTCCATGCAGCGGATCTAAACAAACATCCTCACGCAATGCGAGATTCCCGTGTTCATCTGGGTAAGAAATTACGGGTAGATGCCAACGTTTCAGAAAGACACACTGTCTCCATCTGCAGGGCTTACATTCCGGGGTGGATCGTTCATGTTAACCATGTTAGCCCTCTACGCTCTGGCTAACAACGCCTGACTGGCTATGGCTGGCTAACGATGCGGTTTATCCAGTGTATGGAGTATTATTATTTAGAGTTCTGTCTGACGACAGGTCCATATGAACAGGATCCTTCCATCCTTTTCTCGGACTGGGACCTGTTCATATACGTTCTTGGCAGATGATCCAGAAGTGGTTTGCCATTGCCTTCTTCTGTGTGTGCATGGAGTAATTGTTGGGATGCCACGGAGAAACCGGGGAAGCCCCCGGAGGAAAACTCCGTGTTGCCTAGACCACGGCCTTGCCCAACACAAGTTATAAATTTGAGCACCGCCGGTAATCGACCCCAGGATTACAAGGCCAGCGTTCTAACCGCTAGACCACCGTGGCGGTCTGTATGGAGTACCAAACAACAAAAGACAGAATACATTTTTTTAAGTATTAGCCGGGCTACCACGATTAAAATGAACGCTCCATCCAAACATAAATATATAGGTTACGACTCATAAATTTGTAGTACTGCTCAACTGTCGGGCCTTGAGATAGCTTCTGTTACGTCAGCTATGAAAATGGTTGAAATACATGGACTTAAGCATACTTTTATACGTATTAGTTTAAGTCAAAAACAGATTAGTGCTATCTTGTCCAGTAACGGGAGAGACTTTATAAGCAAGACCTTGTGCGTCAATAACAAGCAAAGAAATTAACATACCAAGACTCGACATAGACGGCATCCTTAAGACACGTCACGATCGCAGGGCATATTTCCAGAAATTCTCACTCCCTCGCAGTTGCCAAATGGGACTCTAAAGTATAGCAAATAAACATAGTATCAGGAGTAAGTATTTTTCCAAAAAGAGAAGCACTTCAAATGACAAGAAAACAGAATAAATTATAAAATATGAAATGAGAATTAAAATGCAGCAGCAATACAAAATATGAACAGTACAAGCAAATAGACGACACATTATTTCAAAAACAAAAACAACGTATAAAGAAAATGTTCGTCATGAAAAGTTATCGTAACTGAAAGCTTCGAGTGTATGCAGAAATATATTTTAATATATGTACTTTTTATAAATGGAGTGCTTTTATTTGTAACAAAAACTTAAACCCTTCAGTACAACAAAAACAAAATTTCAAACTAGAGTACGGAAGATGAGGCAAATTTCTTGACAAACCCACTCTTCAGCTCTCTTAATAATTTTCCGTTGCCCTCTTCAGATTCCAACCCATAATTTCCCTTTTTATACACTTTCCCCGTCAGAGATACGAACTATGGGCCTTCTAGTCGTCGTGTACAGACCTTCTACATTAATCTAACTGCAGTCATTCCACAATGCTCAACGCAGAGTCACTCTCTTTCTTTCTAGAGCGCAATATTTGCTTCAGTGTACTCGCGAACCTAGAGAACTCCAGCTGGAGTAAGTAACTGCAGCTAGATTTGCTCTAGAATAGCCACCGTATCCAAACAATTATTTTAACGGTGGGTAAGTTTGGACCAGCGTAGACGATCAGAGCAGTCTGCGTTTACTCGGAGAATGGCTTCGTTGCTGATAACTGGCGTAGATATATAATAATAATAATAATAATTTTAATTAATTCTTTTGCTCCAGACCTGCTGACTACCACGAGGTACATGCGTAACCAACTCCAACATGATTTAAAAAGATCAAGTTTCTTGCACGCAAGTGGTGTCATTATCATGTCTAGTCTTTGGGCCATATATTCTTTGGACAACGTCTAATTTAGAACAACAGCGGCATAAATCCGTTCTGCGGAAAGCAGAACTCGTTCCGAGATTCTATTATTACCATCACAACCACCGCGTACCGTTATATGCCATTTATTATCTAAATTCATTCTCCTCTCCTCATACTTTTCTGTAGAAGGCTGAGAATTTCTTTTTTTTTAATTTCTCATCTCTTGTTGTTGACGATAAGATTGCATCTCTGTGAAGGCTCCAACACACGATAAAGTCCTAACAGTTAAAGAGACTTCTTAATTGACTATTAAAATTCGAGATTCTTACGAGTACACAATCTTTCACTAAATAACATTTCCTCCGTTCGTCATTCTGTTTGTGTGTTCGTTAGCCCGTAACCATTCCTGTGGCCTCGAAATCTAAGATGTTCTGGTGCCACAGAAGCGGTTTTGACTACGATTCGATGACATTTGTGCCTGTCCTGCACATTTCTAGGGTGTTTATCACTGTTATCATTCACAGAACGCCCACTGCCTGTCAAAAAATGTGGTTAATATGGTAGAAGTTTACCGACGTTTAAGCGGTGCTTGCTTCTCAGGGCGTCATCGCCCTGATGATAGATGTAGTAAGCACCTTTAAACGTCGGTAAACTTCTACCAGACTACACGGCTTAATAACCCAGAAGACAAGTCATTTCATACTCCCCGCAGTGAGAGCCTGGAATCTGTCTTATCATTTCAGTTGCTACGTTACAGGGACCATTTCTATGGAAAAGGATCCCTTGGCCAAAAACCAGCTACTGTCGTGAATCCACGCGTCTCGTGACAAATAAAAACAATCTCATTCTGTGGTGGAACTAATCAACAGTTATACGCACATCCTCATAGTGCGACGGCCAGAACTCTGTTCGCCTTGTTAGGAACCACTCGGAACCCACTTACTCCCAGTCAGTGTAAGAGCGGTACAAGAAACTGAGTTAATAACAGAAAGTCGACCGGAATTCCTCAGTCTACAGTGTGTTTATATTTACAGGCCCACTTCTAGCCGCTCAGTCCGCTTTGAGTATGCATCTCCACTAATGCGATGATTTTCTACATCCTTAACCCCTTCACGTACAGTGGTAAATATATTTACCACCTACGAACATCAGGGGCTGAGAACCAGCCAGGCTAACACTTTGAAAAACGAAAAATAAAAGGTCTTACTTTCTTTTTCAGTGGAACACAGAAGAACCGATCAGATAAAACGCAATGTTAACCACCTCGTTCAGGCTTACGCTCACCGTACTTAGAAGAGATATGACAAGGAGAGGCTTAAGGGGTGCACGACATTCCACCCAAAGATGTTAGCCAAACCACGACTGCTAACATACAATTTGCTTTCATGCTGCATCTCGCGATTTGAATTGTGTAGCCTTTGTTACGCACGTGTGCCGTGATGTACTTTAGATTTTGCATCACGCAAGACAAAGTTCGATACTCGTAAGTACTGGACTGTGAAAATTGTCTCGACCCCGACCCCCGGCACGAGTTTTTGGTCGAAACGTCTGAAATCACGCTCCGCCACTGCACACAGAACATATTAAACAAGCTTACACAGTATATAACAGTTTATTACGAAACTCCACGAGGCCGGATGCACAACGCAACTTACAGGGCATATTAGATAGTACCAGGAACTTTTTCCTCGGGTGTACAAACGACAGTAATCACAACCCCCCCCCTCCCCAACTCCAACCACTATCAAACTTGAGAACATACAACGTGATATTTAATTTCTGTGAACACCCAACCCTGCCATAGTCCACTGTTGCTTGGATTTGCTCCTGGAATCTCCGTTATGAAGAAGCTGTACTGCTTTTTATTACAGCGTGGTGTTCCACTACGTGACGTCACGACAATCGATACTTCACTCGGGTCGCGTGACTTGGCGTTCCTCGGACTGTCACCAATTGTTTCGCGCGACCGAAGAGCGAGACAGCGTTGGCAGCTCACACACTTCTGTATAAACACCGAGACCACAGGATGGTTGGGTGGCGAACAGCCATTTAAGTTGCACAGTGGCTGGCTACAGCTCGAAACACGAAGACGGGACTAAAACATGACGACTGTCCTCCGAACGTCTTCGCGATGGCATTATTTTTACTAACTTCCTGGCTTTGGACTTTAGCCATCATCTGTTAAAACTTATTTAAACGTCTAATAAATGACAACTTTTCGAAAATTACAGAACTTCATCAGATACAGGCGGAGACGCCTACTCTGTTAGATGGGGCAGATCGAACCATTCCTGAATATGACTGTCTTCTGGGTTGTAGCGCCGTGTAGTCTGGTAGAAGTTTACCGACGTTTCAGAGGTACTTTCTGCCTTTATCATAAAAGCGATGATGGAGGCAGCAAAGACCTCTAAAACGCCTGTAAACTTCTATCAGACTGTAAGACTTGAGGTTCTCACAGCGGTGAGTATGAAGATATCCGTCTTCTGTAACGTAATACGTGCCTGCCCATTTAAATGAAGAGGTGACCTAAGGAAGGATTATCATCAAGAGATACCAGAGTACTTGGAGGATCTATTTCAACGGACCTTGGAATCTGCACAACTGGAAATTACGCAAAGCTTTAAATAACCCAGGTTAAACAGTGTTGAAATAGGATTATCACTGAATAAAGAACTGGAAGGATCTGGAAGGAAGCGGTTGTAATCTACCTTAAGGTTCTATCCTAGCACTTTCCTGAAGAGAACGAGAACACCAGCGAGAAACCTCGATTCATATAGCCGCTGGAGACATTAAGTTTCTTTGTAACACTGATATCTACCTACGACGTGACAACCCAGAACGACAAATCGAACATCAAATATCAAAAAATCCGCTTTGTCTTAAGCATAGTTAAGGCTGTCCGTCACAACAAAATAAAACGAGTCTGTCCGAACGTGTAAAAACTGCCCAACAGAACATTCTACTCTCTCCTTCCGTGATACTAAACTCAATGCCTAAGGTAACCGCCTCGCCACAAGCAATTATCAACAAAACGGATATGGCAAATGGCAAAACCATGTTTTCTTCTTCTTCTTCTTCTCCTCCATGAGAGACAACGGAAACTACAACGACACATGCTGGTAGCGCTCGACGTTAAGCGATAAGTTTGTCTCTCGCTCTGTGGCAATGACAGTGTACGATGTGCATCCCTTCGGATGCCATGTTCTGCCAGCAGTATCAACGCGTTGACGCACAAGGCATATAGAACGTTCCTCACCTGAGTGCTTCAGAGGACTCTCACGACACAAAAACAGAGGTGAACGATTTTTAGCAGTGAAAGGGTGATTCAAGGTCAGCCCACGGTTTCATTTTCTGACGCAAATACGTCTATATTGAAGGGTCATTCGGCAAAAAAGGGGAACGAAAAAGTGTAACCTGGTTACCTAGGAAACGTCATCTGTTTACTCGGCATTGTTGTTACCTATAAAACATTTCATTACATTACATTCAGCTACCACAGACCCATCTTAAGCGTAACTAATTCAAGTTAAATAAGCAATGTTTTAATCAAACTTATCTCAATTGTAAAGCATGTATAAAGGAAATATTAGGAATAAAGCCAATATATAAACTTCCTTTCCGTATAGACGTATTTACGCCAAATTCTCCGGAACCTTGGTTCCACTGACAACTTTTTAAACAAACTAAATCCCACATATTTATTGACTGGCTGATAATTATTATACTGTGTAATAAAGTTATCAGATCATTCGACGTATTCACAGCGATGAAGAGTCGATGTTTGTTTTATGGGGAATCTAGAAACCCAGAAGATGGAGACAGTATGTTTCTCTAAAACGTTGGTATATGCCTACGAAAGATCCCATGCTGATCTTCCAGGTTGCGAAACCTTTTGAACTTGTAGAACGATACAAAAGTTTCGATGAAAATACTGCTTCTATCTTCAGGACTGAAGACAGAGACAGCATATTTTCCTAAACGCTGGGATACGTCCACGACGTCACAACCCACAAGACCAACCGATGTGAGAATCTGGAATTTCACATCATGATATCAAATTCAGAGCATGAGGTCTTTTAAGGCAATAAAACAGCCCATCCACGTAAATAGTAGGACAATATTTTTCCAACAGACACAATGATCCAACTCGCAAACATGAGATGCCCAGTTCGATTTCTGGCCGAGGGCAGATTTCAAACTTCTCCGTTCTCCGTCACTTTCTAGAGATAAACGCGAAGACATCAAGCATAGGACAAGAAATTGTAGAATGATTATAAATGATTCCAGAGGAATATAGTGGAAAAACATCGTAGCCTCTTTCCAGAGTCGGAAATCACAAAGTACATCGGTCAGGACAGCCATTTACCGAGAACCTTCCGAATGTGTTAATCCCCAGTAGTTCGTAATACGTCGCTTTATACAGCGATGACAGCGCGCTATTGCTTTGATAATGCCAGAGTTGGTTTCCGGCTACAGTCCCGACTAAGTACAAGATCCCCTCCCCAACCACATCAAATTTCCTGCTATCTCTACGTGCGTTATTTCATACAGGTTTTAAACATCGCTCAGTACAAACGCTAATCAGTGCAATGACATCACGTACTGAACATACAGACGTAAACCATTTGCAGATATATCACTTATTTAACATCGTATCTCTGAAGATGGCTGTCTCCAGGGTTGTTGCGCCGTGTTTATCGACGTTTCTGAGGTCCCTGCTGTATCCAACATTAGGGCGATGACAATGCAAGTATTTTTGGCAAAAGATTGCTTCTGTATGAATAAGAAGATGGTTTTATTTATCCTGGCCAGGACACAGCCATCTTCAGACCCACCGCCGTGAAAACTTCAAATCCTACATCCTATCTCTGTTTAAATGCATCTAAATTATACAAAATATTTCGTATTAGAATAAGAACCTCTAAATTACTAAATTATTTTTGATAAAAAGTGAAATTACAGTGTTAAATCATAACAAACAATAGAAATGAAACGATACAAATTTCCTTTTAGTTGAGTTAACCTATGAGACAGAAGCTCATTCAGCCCCACCTGTTCTCCTTGATCCTTTCTAATTGCATATTCTAAAGCAAAGTTGGAAGAAATTGTGATAAAACATCTTGTTTTAGTCCATTTTAAATAAAAAAGGTGTCAGACAAATATTTACCTGGACAGAATTTACTGCAGATTTTGTTTAAACGCATTTTAATAAGCCTAAATAGTTTCATGGGCACATCAAGCTCAATGAGAATAGTGTACAATACTTCCCTCTTAACTGAATCATAAGATTTCTTATATTCTATGAATAGCTGATGTACTGTCTCATTGTACTCCCATTTTTGCTCTAGTATCTGACAAATACAAAAAATATGGTCAGTAGTTGACTTATTACGTCGAAATCCACATTGTTTATCCCCAATAATTTCGTCTACGTATGGACTTGACCTTGAGAGAAGAATGTTGGATAAACTTTGTACGAAGTTGATAACAGTGATAGGCAAAATAATTAAAGACAGTAACAATCTCTCCCTTTCTCCATAAACAAATAGCATCAGGAGACAAATAAAATTGTTTCTTCAAGACAAAAACAAAAGTTACAAATTCCTATTCTTCTCTAGGCCATGATGGAGTAGTAGCTTCTCAATTTTTTGTTTACAATACAAGCGTACAGGTAAGCACTTCGAAGCCACAATTTCTGTCCGTATTTATATTCGGTAATACTTATAGTAATTTAATAATAAAACTTACAGTACGTTGATTTTAAACACATGTTGAGTATACACCATATTTCTTACAATGGACGGCACAAACAAAACTTTACACACAATGCAACAGCCACCATACTGAGCGTACACTACCTTCAGTTGTTTCACATCCCCCTGACGTAACACTGCGTCATTGGTAAATGCTACTGTAGCTGGGATTATAAATGGAAAGACATCCAATTCATTTCTTAGAATTAAACTATCAGCACGGGATAGCAAAGATGATCCAAGCAGCAACGGCTAGGCTGCGAGAGAAATTTCAGGTTATGAAGTTGCCAAAGGAAGTGACGTAATCCAAAGAGACTTATGGAAAAAGATAAAAAGAATGAAGAAAAGACGACAATTTCTGAACAAACAAAACAAAACGAAGAATATTCCAAAGTCTTCTTTGACTGTAACTATTTAAAAACAGGATTAATTAGAAAAGTTACACGCGTGAACACATGCAAAGGCAGATGACACGCATATTTCATAAGTTTAGATTAATCACAGGAGGCAGCTCCATCAGTGTAACCTAATGATTAAATACTGCGCTAGACAACTAGGGTTCGATTCCGGAAAGTATGAATAACATTTTATCTAAAAAAATGTTCTCGGCGGAGGTGTTTATCTTCGTCACCACGTCCAAACTGAATCCGGTACCCATCCCATGGTTGCCAGAAGCCCGTCCCTCGAAAGTGAAGCGGCCAGGTCGTACAATTGATCATTCACTTCCACCTAAAGTCGAGTTAAAGAATGTGTGGAGCTATACCTCCACTCCTCCACACACCTTCATGATATGGAGCTTAATTAAGTGCAAAACAGGCCTACAAATTTACCTTTTGAAGCACTGAAACTAAATCTCTTAAATCACTGCAGTTATTTATGACACTTTGTGCAAATTTATGTTTGTTTTTCAATATCCACTTAGAAATTCTGAGTAACTTTAAGAAAACATTCACAAATGCATAAGATTATATTCTCATTCTTTATAACCTGTAATTCTGCTTCTAAAACCGACTGACGTGTTCTACATAGCAACTTTAGAAGATAAATAAGAATGAACTGTAAAGGTGATCGCAGATAACGAAACAATCTGGCGGAAAAGCCACTCGTCCATATTACCAGGAATTCGTCTAAGGAACTAACAAGCCTAGATATGGGAGTGAATCCTGAGGACGTCATAAATTCGAGCCACGCTGCCATTTGTAAGCCAAATGTTTTAAACAGTTGACAGTATTGTACAAATTCATTATCTGGATGCGTGGACCTCTCAATCAGGACACTTGTAATTGTTACAGGTGGAACACTTTGTCATCTGAACCTTGCCTTAATGGCATGAGCACGAAACAGCGTTGGGTGTGGAACAAGAGTGAAATAAGTCTCTCCACTTCTGATTACAGTACAGGATGACTGATCAGTGGTTCCTGATTTCAAGATCTGAGAATCTTCAGTAGGATCGCGAAGGAATATCGAAAGACTTTCTTTTCAAAGTGCCGGTACTCAAAATACTGAGGCTGAAGATGGCGTACTGTGTGAGAAATTGAGAGTCATAGAATTTATACAACTGTTAATTCTACCACTTTTGTGTTTGAAGATGGCTGTCTTCTGGGTTGTAACGCAGTGTAGTATGATAGAAGTTTACCAGCGTTTCAGATGTCCTTGGTGCCTCCATACATACGGCGTTACAACCCAGAAGACAGCCATGTTCGTACTTACCGCCGTCAAACCCTAAATCTTACTTAGCTTTGCGTTTAACTGTTCCAAACCAATTAATATGCTACTTATTTTGACTTATTGGTTACTCGTGTGGACAGTGAATTAGAAAATATCGGGTAGAAAGCTTCAGTGTTCTGTCTTTGCCTTCGTACTAAAGTGTCACGAAACACACGTAGACTCTAGAATCGAAATGGGAACTTCCAAAATTCGAGTCAGAAGCTTATCGTTTCATCTATTGACGGCGTGCGTTCTAAAACGGAACAAACACACATGTCGCGTCTTTTTAGCACGGAGAGAAGAGTGCCTTGGAACGGTATTGCTCTGAATGAGAGATGAGAGTAAGCATTGCGTATATTGTGCGTGCATGCGTATGTGACGGCATGCCTCTTTCTTACAGGAAATGGGATCGGTGATCGGCTACGACCTCGTGGCCGTTAGGACAGCCATCACTCATGGGCAGATGGCAGCGTCAGGAACATGCCATCAGATAGATCACTACTAAGTACCGCTTATGGTGTCACGAAGGAGGTCTCCTTCAAAACTCTTTTCCGTGTTTGGGTTCCTAAGCTAAAAGAAAAGACTGCACGTACTTTTGTTGAAAAACCACAAATATTGTGTAAGAAATTCCGAAAGATGGTACGAGATATTTCATTTTACTGGTACTTTTAACCAAACGAGACACCTAATCCGAGATGAGATATCTTTTAAAAGGTCAAGGGATGTTAAATTAAGATAATTTCGATGGTCTAGACCTACGAGGTGCGATCGGAAAGTTTCAAGACTGTGTCAATAGAGGGCGAACCGGATGTAGTACGAGCTAGGGGGTGCGGCCTACATTCATAGTGAATCAGTGTGCCAGCCGGCATCATCGAATTAGCATTTGTTTCTTAGTTACGGGCGTTTTGGTAGTGCATTACACCGACCCTCCTGCGATTTCGGAATGGCGGATTTTCATGAACAAA